GGGGCGGTGCTGGCACCGCCTGCCCCTCCGGCCCCCGGTCAGCCCCCGTGTCCCGCCCTTTCAGGCTGGGTTCCTCTGCGTCCTCCCTGGGATGGGACCTCACCTGGTCTCCCCCTGTCCAGGCTGGAACACGCTTGTAACACCTGTAGGGAACAACAGTGGGGTTCAGGTGGTGGCCGGGCTGCCAGGGCAACGAGGACTGGTGCCCTCAGCCAGCTGGAGAACGGATTTGGGTGTGAGGGGGCTGTTTGTGGTGGCACTGGGGGCACCCTCCGAGCCTTCGTCCCACCTTTTGCACTTTTCTTGTTTTGCACCGAGTTGAGCTCCAATTGTCTCTCCACATTTGGAGACGTGGATGGGGATGGCAGAAGGGGTGCCTTACCCCACGGCTCAGTTTTCTCAGCTGTCTGTGGGTGGGCAACCTGCTTACAGGTCTCCCTGGACCTCACCTAAAGCCCATTTAGTACTGCAATGCTTGACACTTGTGGGGTTTCCTATTGTTTATTTTCCCAGTTCTGTTCCTGAAGCAGCTCCCACAACTCACAGGGCAGTCTGCCTGGTGCAGGGACAGAGCATGTGGGGCCCTCAGGTTGGTCAGAGGAGGCAGCTGGCCAGCTTCTCTGCTCTCTCCTTCCTCACTTTTCCCCTGGCTGAACAGTCCCCAGGACGCTGGAACCCTTTGCTGTGCTGGTGGCAGCACCAGCCTCCTGCCAGCAGTCACCACACAAGACTGGTCTCTCCCCATCACACCACACCACAGCAGGTGCCAAGGGTACATGGAAGCGGAGAAGGGGGTCAGGAGTCATGGGAGCCACATCCTGCTGAACTCCCTCCACGCCAGATTTCCTGTTGTTTCAATCGGCAGAGAAAAACAAGAGAGCAAAACAAAGTCAAGGCCAGGCTGGGAGCCCCTTCATCTTGCTATTTATTCCAGAGTAATCTAATTAAAGCCACAGGAAATATGCTTTCCCACAGTGACTGGACATCTTAAAAAAATCCCAGCACAACAAAAGCTCCATGGGCCAGGTCAATGAGGGGACAAGAGCAGCAGAGGCCAGGCTCTGTGGCCTGAGGCATCGGGAGAGATCTGCCCCGGATACTTCTGTACCCGTTTACCTGTTCCCTTGCTTAGATGCCTTGTGGCCACCCACATGGGGCACTGGGGCATCTGGAGGTTCATCCAAGATCTCCTGGGATAGGAGCTGCCACACTGAATCTCCCTCGACACTCTGGAGAGGATCCCCAGGGTCTGGCCCCTCTGCACAGGATTTCAGGAACCCACCCATGGCCTTGCAGGGTGGGGGGGGATGCTGTGGAAAAGAGCACTGGCAAGGCAGGGTGGGTGCAGGAAGAAAGAAAAGGGCTGGAGGAGTATTTAAAACACTTTATTTTAAAAAAAATTCCCAGTTAAAAACACAGTGGCTGTGCCTTTCTGTAGATAACAGACACAGCCTGTGCCCCAGGCTGGCCCTTGGCTCTGCTTCCCAGGTGGGCAGCTCCAAGGCTGTGCCCCTGCCAGGAAGGTAACGTGGCTCTGGGCTCCACCTGGGGAGGGCTTGAAGCTCTGAGCAGCCTCTCTCTTAAAAAACATTTAAAATCAGTTGTGAGAACAAACTCTGTGGTGTTAAAAAAGGAAAGGGGAAGGAGCAAGGGAGGCTCTGCCAGCACTGGAAGGCTGTGGCTGGAGGGCCCACACTCCTGCCTGGGGAGAGCCACAGTGCTCGTGATGTGCAGCAGCTTTTCTTCTTAAAAGAGAAAAAAAATTAACCAACCAACAGTAATTTCTTCCAAATTTTCCCTGCAGCCACAAATTTCACCAGTTGCTCAGGTAAATACGCTGTCTTCCCCATGGCAAATGCTCTTGCAGAAACTGAGCCTTCCTCCTCTGCTAAACAACATGCTTCAGATTCCCTGCAAAGAAAAGGAAGCGGGAGAGGTTTCACCTTATTTTAAGAGTTTTTTTACAGTGAGAACAATCACTGGAGTAAACTCCACAGGGACATGGTAGAGGCCTCAGTGTCAGAAGGTTTCAAGATGTGACTGGACAGAGTGCTAGATAATCTTGTCTAGCCTCCCTTTCCCACAAAAAGGTCGGACCAGGTGATCTTTGAAGTCCTTTAGAACCTGGGCTGTTCCATGATTCCAGTAAGGACAAGGCCCTGTGCTCCTCTGCCCAGCTAGAGGGCATGGTTACAGGGACCCACAGCTCTGTATCACCAACCCTGAGAATCCCAAGGGAAGTAGGAGGCAGATGACTCTGTGCACTAATGAGCAGCCAAGTGAACACAGTTCATCTTTCTAGTCAGTGAGAAAGACTCCAGTGAGCTCTTCTGAAGCCCTCTCTAAAAGGACCTGGAAGCCCAAAGCAGGAGTGTTGGCTTGGACAACTCACCTTTGATAGAGTTCAGAATTTCTTGAATTCTCTGTGGCTCGTTGCGGTCTGGTCTGCAGCTTGGGGTGATCTCCAGCACGTAATCAGGACCATACTCTGTGAAGAACTGGAGGGAAGAGGAGGGGAGAGTCAGCAGAGAGGCCTCTGGTGGCTGAGGCTGGGGGCAGGGTTCTCTGTGGGTACCTGTTTGGAAAAAGGCAAAAACCAGTTTCTCCATCTGAGGGCCACATGTGGCTTCATGACATCAAGGTGGTGCTTCTGCAGTGTCTGTGCCCACCTGGAGTTTTCAACCATTCCTCAGTTCAAGGGCTTGGGAAGCAGAGCCCAATGGTGCAGCCAAAAGCAGTCAAGTGTCTATCCCAGTGTTTAATTTAATCAGATTAACCTGATTTTTTAGTCAACAAAATTCAAGTGCTACCTATTCTACTGAATAATGCCAGACCTGACAACAAGTACTATGCCAACAGCAAAAAATTAGGCATCTTACAGAAGCCCACATTCTGTTCCTGATTTTAGGACAAGCAGTTCACTGGTGGAACCTGCTGTGATGGGACCATGACTCATGGCACCATCAGCACTGGATGTTCAAGGAATTCTACGCTGGTCTTTCCAGGCGTCCTCAGACTACTTAAACACCATTACACTGATGCTCAGTCAAATGTTTCTGGGTCTCCAAACCACAGCTTGGTTTGGAGGTCTTGTTTTCAAGCCCTTCTCTACAAACTCGTAGACAAAAAAAAAAACAAAAAACCAAAACGACCAAAAGACCTCCAGGTTTCTGAATATTGTCTTTCTTTCATAGTAACTTGATTTCAAGACCTGGAGCTGTCAAGAACATCCCCAAGCCCCTCAAGGCTTTAGGAGAAGCAAAGTGCTGAATACGACTGTGTGGAATTTGGTCCATCATTACTAAAAGAGTTTGCCAGACCTGGAGACTGATGGAACAGCACAGCCTAGCCACCTCACAGCCAGTGCTTTAGCAACAATCTGTCCCAGGCCACAAACTCTCAGGAGTTTCCTTCAGGAGGTGAGCAGAGCCCTGTGGCTGGACAGCAGGAAAGCAGTGGTGGGACTGCCTTTAAGCTGCTCACAGTCAGGAATTCTGCGCTGATCTCAAAAGGCTGACAGCTCAGTTTCCACATTTCGTGTTAATCAGAATGGGAATTCCTATTTAAAGTAAAGAAAACATGAAATCAGGAAGTACCAACCTTTGTTTCTGTGCACAGGCACTGATAAGCTATTAAACCACTAGTGGTTCTTTGCCAGAAGCAGCAGGAAAAAAGCCCTGGGAATCTGACAAAAAGGCATCAACCCTGTGTGCACACAAATCCATCCACATACAGTGAAAGCTCATGCTGCCTCCCCTTCAATTATTCCCTAGCTGTGTAAATATTTCATTCCCAGTGGCCTCCAAACCTCTTCCTTCATGGCTTTTCCCTCCATCAAACCTGCTTCCACCAGTTTACCTTAAAAATGCCAACAGCAAAATGCAGGGAGCCTGAAGCATCGCATGGGAAGGTTACAGAGGCTAAAATATACTCATGAGAAGGACTCTAAAATATGCCAAACCATTCAGCTATACCTTCTCTGGGAGATTCTGTTTGGAAGCTCTGTAGGATTAATGCAAGGCGAAGATGTCTCATCCTTAATCACAGAGAACAGGCTGCATCTCAAAGTGCTGGCCTGGAACCTGCACTAGCCAGGTAAGGAACAATGTTACCTTGGACTGCTTCCATCTACAGGGAAAAAAAAGCCTTCTCTAAATACAGTGACTCATGGAGCAAGAGAAGGGAACAGAAGAATTCCCATCAAAGTGAAGTGAATACATACTCATGTACTTCTTCCCCTGAAAATCTGAGGTTTGTAAGGTTTAAGCACATTTGTCAAGTCAAAAATCCAGGAGCAGACATAGGAATCTGGAGTAAGACAATGGCAAAGCACTGCCTGACATCTGACTGCTCTCTGTCACGCTCTGATGCAAGATGAGCCCATCAGAAAAGACAGAAAGTGGATTTTAGGATCAGTAAATGTCAGAGCAAGATGGGCTATGGCTCACAAGGACGATGTTTAAGTATTATTTGAAACTGTCCTCCAAAAAACATTCCAACCATCTTACTGCCTTTTGCTCTGACCCCTGTGAGAGACAGGCTTGCCTTTGTTTACACAGGGCTTTCCTGGTTCACTCTGCGGCTTTTCAAACAGAGCCAAGTATGGATGTGTCCCTCTCCATGCTTCAGAGGAAGAGCTGGAATGCAGGCGGGCAGTAGGAGGGCCCCAAATGCAGTGCACAGCACACAGACACCCACAAGGGAAGGCAGCTGCACCCTGGGCACTGAACTGCTTCATGGAGTTTGCCTTCTCCACAAGAGCCACCCAGCAAACATCTGGACAAGCACTCCCATGGCATCTTAGCATGAAGAGCCCCAGACCACACCTCTGCTGTTCTCAGCTGGATGTTGAGCGTGTGGGGCCATGTGCTGCCCCCATTGTACAAAGGCTACTGAACCATGTTCTCGTGCCCCTGAACAGCACAGAGGTCTCAGGAAAGCAGGCAGGGACCTGCACCAGCACACTGTCACTGTGCTCTCCACAGTGACCTCTGCCCATACCTAAAGCATCAGGATTTCTTGTTTCCTTATTACAGGCATCCTATCCCAGTTTCTTATTACAGAGGCATCTCCCTCTGCTAAGGACCTATGTGCATGTGCCATTGGATATGGGTATTTCTGACTCTGTTGTGTCCCAAAGCCAGGTTCAGCAGCAGGAGGGACTGATACCTATATATCACAGCCTCCATCAGAAATCCTACTTGTTTTGGTGCTCCTGAGAAGCAGAAGGTTCCCACACATGGAGGGACACTCTCTCTTGGGAAAGATGCACAACATGATCCAGTACAAGCTGGTCCATACTGGCACAGAGTGTGCATATCCCCTCAAGGGTGAGAGGGTGCTGGATCTCAAACTCCTGCTTTTGGTGTGCCAACACCTGGGCCATTCCTCCCCAGAACACAGAGCAATGTGTTGAACAGCTGAACCACAGCCCCAAGATGGGAGGGCTTCCCAGGTCCCTGGAAGGGTAGTCTTCCATGAAACTCTTCCATGAGTTTCATCAACCAACGGGCATTCCCATGTCAGGGGAAACAGATTGACTAGATAGAAATTAATTCACACTGTCCAGCCCCACTCAAGACATGAAAAGCACCAGCACTGGCACTGAGACAGCACCTGGCCCCACAGCCAAAGCTTCAAAGCTGCACCTGGTCCCTTCTGTATGTTGATAAAAGCAGGGTTAAAATTCAAAGCCTTGAGAAAGGCAAAAGTACATGCACATCCTAAAGAGCTCTTTGATCAACTGGTGGCTCCCTCCACCCATCCTCTCTGTAACCATCAGAGACTGAAGTTTATCGGTTCCTGAGATCCCCCACAGAAAGCTGCAGCCTCTGCTTTTGGGCACAAGCACCCACCATGCTGCTGGGATAGGGTGGTATTGTTACAGGAGTGTCTCCACAAAACAGGACTAAGTGGCAAGGATGCTGTGTGGATTATTAGGTGGAATGACTGTCTCTTCTGCAAGGAGAAGGGAGGGTTTTTCACAGCATTACCTCGTGATCGGGGATCTCCGAGGACAGTGTTCTCCCAAGGATCACCCCAGTCAAGTATGTCCAGCAGCGAGCTGTGTTGGCAAGGTTGTAACCTCCTGTTTCCAGCAAGAATTGGGATTTTGAGGGGGAAGAGTGGGGAAAGGGAAGAGAGAGGGAGAGATTTTAGTGTAAGGAACAAACTGTGGAGGCAATGTGCACAGTTCACATGAACTCAGCTTATTTCATCCACTCAAGCTGTGCCCAAAATCTGCATTTTGCACCTGCTGGCTACACGAGGCCAGGTCCAAATGACACTGTGTGCAAGAGCAGACCTCTCAAACTGAACCCCAGTTACACCTGGTGGGGCAGAGGTCGGTCCTTCAGCCACCATCTCAGACCCAGCATGAGGTCCCAGCCCCATGTGCTGGACTCTCTCCTGGCAACAAGGAGAGGTGCCCACATGTAGCAGGGAGGGAAGTGCAAGGGCTGCAGCAGAAACAGGGGCTTCCTGCTTTTTAATGCCAGCCTTAGACCCAAAAACCAAAATACGCAAGAAACTCAGGTAAGGTTTTTTTTCAGGAAAGATGACTAGAATAGTAAAGAGAGAGAAACACAATGACAAGACAGGGAGACCGTATTTTTCAACATTCCCTTCTGTTTGGGTTGGTTGTTGTGGGGGCTTTTCCTGCCTTTTTTTTACTCCTTCCCCACTTCCCACTTCAAATGCTTCCACACTCTGCAGTGGTGGGACACTGCTTTGGTATTTTCAAGAGTGACAAATAGTTGTCCCTCATTTTCTGACAAAAGTTTTGGGGTTTTTTGTCTGAAAGGTGACATCCCCAGCATACCCACAGACAGGCCACAGCAGGATTGAACACTCATAACCTTTCCAAAACAAAGAGCATCAGGCACATCAAGTTTTAGGTGTAACATGCTATACCTGATTTCCCCCATCTCAAAAAGGACAGCAGCTAGAGCTGATCTGGCTTCAGGCATGGAGCTCTCCCTGGCACACAGTGGCTTTTGTTGTTCTGAAATGCTCTGTTACAAAAAGCCTGTCCTGTGCTCTCCCCACTGGACAGGCAGCTGGTTATGCAGCACAGCAGAGATAAGTCCACCTTAGCTTTCACTGGGTATCAGAGCCCTGCTGTACTTTGCAGGCAGCCAGTCCTTGTCCCAAGCCCCTGCTTGAATCTAAACGAAACCATTCATTGCCAGGTGCCCAAAGTAGGTTTGGGAATATAGTGCTCACTTTTAAAGAGAAGCACTGGAAGGCTGATCAGCAGAGATGGGAATCAGAGGTGCCACTGAGAAGTCACAATGAGTTTGTGGACCTTTCCTCTTCTCCAGAGGAGCCATGCAGCTTTTAATAAGATGTGAGAGTCAGGATTGAGACTTTCACCTGTCAGTATCAAGGATTTCAGGTGTGAGGACACAGTACTGTACCAGTACTGACACTGCCCAGCACTCACCCTGCTAAACCCCGGCCAGTGCCGAGCCCAAGGACAAGGCACTCGAGGAAGAGTCGCGGGAGGACAAACATGTTTCTCTGAGACCAGCAGGACACACTCACCTCCCCCCAGCACGAGAGTTGCTAGCTGCCACTGCAGGACATACTTGAGGCACTTGCCCACTCCCTCGGGCGTCATGTTGAAGGAGCACATGGGGTCCCCAGCGATGGTGTCGGCCCCCAGCTGCAGCACGACCGCGTCGGGGTTGAAGGCGGCGTACACCTCCTTCAGCACGCTGTGGAGAGGAGGAGCTCTGGGGGTTAATGCCACAGGGATGCTGGTAGCACAGCTCTGGTCCCTCAGATCCCCCAGTGCCTCTCGGGGTTTCTGCATTCTCTGCTTCCACCCAGCTTGTACCAGTCACACTCCCTCTGCTCCCAGTTAGCCTTCTGCCCCCACTGCTTTCCCACAGCAAGTTTAGCTCTCAGAGAACTTATCACCAGGTTGATGAAGGCAAAAGCACCACTGATAACATTGGGGAGGGGAACCTAGTCCTCATCAACTTATGGTAGCATCAAACTCCACATTTGCACTGGCTGCTCTTTGGCTGCAAGACAAATCCAGAGGCTTTTCTCCCCTCTGAAGGTCGCAGTGAAGATCAGGCAAAACAACAATCCTGAACTCTCAGACATCTCTCACTGAGACAGGACAAACAGAGGAAGGCTCTGGCTAGGTTCTCATTCTCCTCTCTCTTATGTGGCTCCTGAGGCAAAAACACCAGGAAAAGCTCTGTGCAAGGTGTAGTCACCCTGCATTGGAGGGAGCCCTGTGCTTCAAGCCCACCACGGTTTTGGGAAGCACAGGCAATCACCCTCAGACAATCAGACATCCACAGTCAGGCCCATGACTGCCTCCCAGCCTGGACAGAACTCAAAATCTCAAAACCTCTTTGTAGAAGCTTTGGTTATACACAGCTTGGAATCTAGGCAGGTTATGATGTCCTTCAGCTGTGAATGCATGCAGCAGGTTCCTCCTGACCAGGCTCCTGGTCAGCCCTTTCAGCCCCTAGAGCTGCTTTTTGGAAGCATGTTTCCTGGCAGAAAGAGGGCTGTTCTACCCCAGCAGCGGCAAGCATCAACAAGCTAGCAGGAGGCATGGCCTCCACACGACTGCCCTACAAGTCTGGAGAGGTTTCAGCCCTCAAGTGTTAGAGCTGAGAGGTGGATGTGCTACTGTGCCCTGCAGCCTGGTGCTGAGGCTCCTCTCCCCCGGAAAAGAACAAGCCCTGCAGCTCAGTTTTGACAAGGGCAATGGTTTGTGAGGCCCATCACCAGCTGAGTGACAGAGGAGCCTGCCAGGAGGCAGCTCCATCACTGTCACATGTTCAGCCTTCAGCCTTTCACTCTTCCAGCATGGACAGAGGGTACTTGGAAAACACTTTTAGCTAAGCCCCAAGCATATGTCCCACAGAATGTCAGAATTTGGTGCACTTATTTGAAGGAAAAACATCTAGCCCTAAGTCCACAGCTAAAAAATACTTGTGCCTTCTCAGTCTCTCCTTAGACACACAAGGCTGACCTGTGGCAGAGACTCTCCAGCCACCCACAAATGTCTCTGTATATTCAGTTTGCTTAAGAACCTGGACAAGACCTCTGAGAACTCTTACGATCCATGCTCACTGCAATCAAAGGGTGCAAGAGGGGAAGGGGCACACCTTAAGAAAGGACTGTAATTAAAAGTAGTAAGCTGTATAGTGTCTTATTCTCTAAAATCCCATCCAAGTAAGATGTACTGGAGCAAGAGGGCTTACGTTTCACAGATCTGGTAATATTTCTCATCTTGAATGCCATCTTGAATGGGCACATTCACGCTGTAATAGCGACCTTTCCCCAGGCCAACATCTGTCACATCACCAGTGCCTGCGCAACAGAAACACCCCAATTACGAGGGAAAGCAGAGGAGCTGCAAGAGAGAGATGTGTGGGATTTCTCAGAGGAGAGCTGAAAGCCAGGACCTTCAGCACACTAATGGAGAAGTCCACTTGCCACCACCAAGAAAGGAGGGTGGGAGGGACCCAGTTCTCTCCTCTGCCCAATTCTGCCATGCAGAGTCGAAGGGGCTCTGCCCAGAGCTCAGTCACAACCACAAAGGTGGAAACACCAAACATGTAGCTCCCTGCTCCTTCCTTCTTCTGGGTCGAGAGGAGAAGCAGCAAGACATCTCTTTTGGATGGGACTTGCATCACTGGTGAGGCCTCAGCAAAGGCATGAACCAAATGAGCACAAACCTCACATGTTCAACTTGCCTGGAAAAAATCCTGGTGAAAACTTGTGCAGAGAAACAGTCATGACTTTCGAGGTGAAACTAAAGGCATCTTCAACTCCTACCAGGAAAGAAAAAACAGCTTTCATTCACCATTCATATAAATGACAGAGCCTGAACACACAAACAGAGCTGCTTGATAAACATGGGGCAGCAAGCAGAGCAGGAGCAGCATGAGCGAAGCAGAAATGCAGATGTGGCTCCATAAATCCATTCTCGATTCACAGAGACCCGAGTTCAACTGCAGCAAAGGTCACAACTGAAATGAATTTGGCAGGTCTCATGCTAGTCAGTACTGAACGGATCTCGATACCTCACGTCAGTGCCCAGGGCAGCAGCACTCGCCTGCGCTGCTCGGCCTGCGAGGCTGGGAGAGGGATCCGAGCAGGGCTGCCTTGGCCAGAGCTTGGCTCTGATTAGAACCAGTGCTACTGGACTCTCTCGCTTTTTCTCAGTGCTGCTGTGGTTCAACATGCCTTTTCTTTTCCTTAAAGACACATTAAAATAGTGGGGGTGGGGGGAGGGGAAAAAGAAGTAACAGGAAACTTAAGAGAAACCAAATGCAGGGAGAAAACGGAGCAAAATGAAACACACCATAAAATTTAGAAGAGTGGGAAATGTTAAATGGTGCTGAAATCGTGTCCCTGAAGGAGAGAGCAGTTTCAGAAAGGCCAGTTCTGGTTTTAGTTTTATAGCATCAAGCCTTCTTTTAAAAGCACCGTTTGCTACTGGCTGCTTCCCTCTTGCACTGGAGCATTAAACAATTAAATCCTGTCAGCAACTGCTCTGCCAGGATGGGAGACTAGGACAACACTGTCTGTTGCTTTAGGTACAAGACTCCTGCCCAGACCCTCAAGAGAGGTCTGAACAGCAGCATCTGAAGGGCAACTTCATAAAACAGGACAAGGCAGAAATGGATTGAGTGAACTCAACTGCACTGAAAGGAGGCAAAGCCACAGCTGTGGCAGCACATAAAGTTCTGCTGCGTCAACAGGCCTTAACTTCTCCCGTTCCTCCCCCTGGGTCTGTGCAGCTGTGCTGTTTGCAGCCTTTGCTGGGCCTTACCATCCCCATGATGCAAATCCAAATCGATATAAAGCACACGGTCAAATTTCTGGCGCAGCCGCAGGATCCCCAGGACGGCATCGTTCAGGTAACAGAAGCCAGAAGCTTCATCCCTGTGAAAACAATGTCCATGACGTTGAACGTTGCCAGTGCAGTCACCACCAGTCTCGGTGCTGACACCCTGACTTTGCAAGTCTCCACCTCACAGGGGCACAGAGGAGGACGAGAACCCAGCTCGCACACCACTGTTACACCTTCAGAGGTCCTCTGCCCGGTCAGAAAAGTCACTGCAGCAAGGAGAGGCATCTGCACATCCATGTTCAAGCTCTCAGGGTTAGACACGGGGTTCATGCAAATTCCTGGGGCTCCCCAGGGACACAGAATAGCACTCTGAAGGCCATTTGGCTGTGGACAAGGAAGACATACTGTCTTGTCTGCACTGCAGACAGGCCCCATGTTTTGGGAGATGGGGGACACAAGTTAAATAAAACATACATCCGTGGAAAATGGGATGGAAACAAATTATTTTACCATTACAGAACCACAGAATTCGGGATCAAAACTTTTACTTCCTCTCCTATTGTGCTGGAAGATCATTATTGATGTTAGAGTTCAGAGCAAACAGCCCCCCATGGAGTGTAGGGAAACCCAAGGTCAACCTTGCACCTTTTCAAACCTCTTATTAAGAAACCAAAAAAGCCACACAAAACAATTTGGCCAACATGTTGCCACATTCCCATTGTGTTCCAAGCTGCATCAATCATTTGACTCTCCACAGTGCTTCTCTATGGACCTCACAAAATCTCTCCTCACTTGAACTGCCGGAGATAACCAAGTATCAAGGAATGGCGGGACATCTGTGAGCATACCTGCTCCAGACCCTCCCTGCAGTCCATGACAGCAACACCACTGGGCAGTGACCGGCCTCCTCTCAGGCCTCTGCCCTGCCCTCTCTACCTTCTGCCTTCCCTCACACCTTGCTTTCTCTCCCAGCTGGATCGCCACACCCTGAGGGTTCGCAGGGGAGCCGGGAGCTAGGAAGCGGGGTTCAGACACCAGGTGAGAAAACACAAGGGAAGAGATTGTTTTCTTACTTCTTTGCATGATGCCACCCTCCAGGCCAGTTAATTGCTACCTTGCACTTGCCGTCCAGCAGGCACTGGGCTGCAGTGATGGTGGCTCCTCCCACGGCCGCCGCATACTCAAAGATCCCTTCAGTGGCTGGACAGTCATAACCTGCAGGTAAAAGTCCAGGTAAGAGTCCACATGTCAGACACAACAGGCCTTTTCCTCCAGGGGAAGCACATTCCTTTTGTTTGAGCCATCTTCTTTAAGTGCGGCTCTGACCTTCTGTTCCAAACACAACGCCAAAGCCATGGCACAAACCCTCACAACAGCTGTCAGCTTTGGACCCACACAGCAGATTTGAGGGGCCTGAGTAGGAATAAAGTTGTGGTGGGTTTGCGTGGTAAGGTGTTCACAGTGGGAGGGCTGCAGGGGTGGCTTCTGTGAGCAGCCACCAGGAGCTGCCCCCATGTTGGACAGAACTCCAGGACGGACCTGCCTCTGGGCAAGGCTGAGCCCATCAGCACTGCGGGCAGAGCCTGTGGGAGAACATATCAAACAAAGGGCAAAAACCACGGTGCAGCACCTGGGAGAGAGGTGAGAGCCTGTGAAAGAAACTACCCTGCAGGCCCCAAAGTCAGCAGGAAAGGAGGGGCAGGAGGTGCTCCAGGCACTGGAGTTCCTGCAGCCCATGGTACAGACCACAATGAGGCAGCTGTGCCCCTGCAGCCCGTGGAGGTCCACGATGGAGCAGAGATGGCCCTGCAGCCTCTCTAGGACCCTATGTCCCAGAAGCAGGGGAGTGTGCCTGAACAAAGCTGTAACTCCATGGAAGGGACCTACACTGCAGCAGGTTTGCTGGTAGGACCTGTGACTCTGCAGGGGATCCATGCTGGAACAGCTTATTCCTGAAGGACTGACCCCATGGAAAGGGACCCACACTGGAGCAGTTCCTGAAGGACTGATTCCATGGAAAGGGACCCATGCTGGAGCAGCTTGTTTCTGAAGGGCTGACCCCATAGAAGGGACCTACTCCTGAGCTCACCACTCTAACTGCAGCTGTAGCAAAAAAAGCATCCTGGTCCTGACACTCAGCTAAGCTCTCGCTGAAGACACACGTCCTTACCCAGTCCATACTCCACAGACTCCGGATGGTCATCATCCCCCTCCTCACTGACCTTCTGCAGGTGCTGCAGGTAAGCATCTGTGTGGAAACTTGCCATCTCCTCCATGGAGGCCACTTTTGGCTTGACTATCCTAGGCAGAGAGAAGGAAGGGAGCATGTCAGGACAAGAGGGCCTAGGGTTTGGCTGGAATGCTCAGCTTTAGCCTTTAACCTAGAAGCCTTCTTTTGGCAGTTACTGTGGTAAAAGCAAACAAAAATCCCTCTTTCTCTTGCACCAGACTGCCACTCCAGTGAGCAAACATCCAGCTGAGCTGGCCTTGACTCCAGCGTGGCACTGCCTGCTATGCCCAGCCCAGGGAAGAACACCTACAGGTGCTGCCTGCACTAACCTTCCTATTTTGCTTCAAGTGTTTTTCCCCCTTTTCTGCATGTTCTCCCAGTATGAGCAATGCCCAGTGGATCCAACATTCTGGTTACATACAGAGGCACTAACAGAAGGAAAAGTCCAGTCCCAGCTGCTGCAGCAGGATCCCACCCTGCTAGGTCAGGAGCTGGACAGCACTTCCCAAGTGCTCTGACCTACACCTGCATCAAAGCAGAGACCACTGCTGTTCCCAGCACCTTCCTGGGTTTGGGTGCTTTGCAGTCTGCCTAAACAAATCCTGCAACACACTGAACCCTCTCCAAATCTCAGACACTGGGGGCACACATGGGCAGCACAGTATAGGAAAGAATGGAAAGACAGCAGGAAACTCCCAGCTCTAGGCTGGTCCCAGTGCCAGGCACTTCCCAGTCCCTGACAAGGCAAACAGCCCTTCAGGTCTGCTAGATGATGGCACCTGCAGCCAGGTACCAAGCACACTCTGCCAAAATGGCTACAAAAAAAAAATTCTTTTAAAAAAGAAGTCCCAATAGGACCTTCTGACCCTGCTGAACTGGAGCATGGGATTTTTTTTTAAGAACATAAGAGAGGCTGAGCTAAGCCTTTTATTCCCTGCATATGCTCCAGTGTAAAAAGCCAAATGAAGCAGGAGGGATCTCACTCTTCTGCCCCAGGTTTCACCTTGTCTTCTCTCCTGAACAGCCCCAAGACCTCACAATAAGTCTCCCACATCAATCACGACACAGCAAAACAACAAGGTCCCTCTCTGTATCGGCACTGACTGAGCAGTGGATCTGGAGCAGCACCAAGGTTGTCACCCTGCTCCGAGCCCCAAGCCTGGGGGTGACAGACACTCTGCAGAGAAGGCACGAGAAAAATCTGTGCTCCACCAGACCAGGAGAGTAACCATGAATTACACCTTCCACTGTAATCGTGTCCACGTAGCAAAACAAGCACTTTCCTTAGATCCTTAGAAATACACACTGTGTAGATTCCTTAGAAATACACACTGTGGGGGCTCCCTGCCAGCAGGGACAGCGTGAAACCTGAAGTTACTCAGCACCTTCCAAACCTCAGCGGAGAAGAAAACATCCCTTCACAGAAAACGGGAGCACTTACTTCATCTGGTCGAGCAGGCAATACGCCTCAATCAACGAATGCACCATGCTGGCCTAAAGAGAAGAGTACATCTGTGAGAGCAGGAGACACAAGGGCAGCAACCGGAGGCATGGGGGGGGGCCAAGGAAGGACTCGCAGCCGAGCTGTGGCTGTGACTCCCCCCGCAGCGGCTCTCCCGGCACGGCTGGAGCCGGGCAGGGCATCCCGGGGGTGCGGGATGGGCCTCCCGGCGTCCCGGGCAGAGGCACAGCCGGGGAAAGGAAGCGTAGCGCTTCAGTGTCGCTGTCACGGCGCTGCCAGGGGCGGTGTGAGGGCACAGACGGGCCCCACAAACACTGAACCGCACACTCTCCGCGCCGGGGCCCGCCCCTGTCCCTCCGTCCCGCGTTCCCCGCTCCCCTCCGCCGTTGCCGGGCCCCCCCGCCCCGCCACCACCGGCGCGGCGCTGACCCGCCTTGGGCACTTTGCAGAGGGAGTCGCCCGAGAAGCTCCACGTACTCCGGGGCATGTACACGTAAGACCGGCCGGCGAGCCGCCGCCATCGGAGGCCCACACGGCCGGGGCCGGGGCGCAGCAGCACGGGCGTTCCGGCCCCGGCGGCCGCGCCCGGGAGCTGTAGGCCTGCCCGAGCTGTAGGCCCGCCCCGGAGCTGTAGGCCGCGCCCCGCCGCCCTCCCTCCCTCCCTCCCAGCCCAGGCCGGGCAAGGAACAAGGCCGCACACGCTGTTAGAGACGTTTTTATTGGGTGCCCGCCACGCGGCTCGGGGGCGGTGTCTTATTATCTAAAAACGTAGTAATTGGTCATTAGAAAAGGACTGAGCCCCGCCCGCCCCGCTCGGGGTGCCCGAGCCCCGCCGAGCCCAGGCAGCTCCCACCCGGCCCCCCGTGCCGGAGGGAGGAGCCGGGCTGGGGCTCGGCCTTATCAAGGCTCCTCTGCCCGGGGCAGGGGTCACGGTGGGAGGGATCAGCAACACGTACACAACAGCCGATGGCTCGAGAGACCCCCCCCCCTCCGGCTTTGAGGCCAGACCAACCTCTGGAGATCAAAAACCACAGAAACACACACAGGAAAACATCTGGCTCTAGGGCCACCCCGGGGAGCGCGGGGGCAGCGTGGGCAGAGCACGGTGTTGGCACGTGGCACAGGCACTGTCACCCTCCCAGCTCAAGAGGCAAGTTGAGCTGGTGACCATCGCCCTCTCAGAAGGAGCTCTGCTGGGGCATCCACCTGGCACAGACCACGTCCTCTGTGCTTGCCACAGTGGATGTGGCCACCCTGGCAGAGCTCCCAGGAGAATATGCAGCCATCCAGGCCTCTGAGTGCCAGTGCCTTTCCCTGGGAACGATGGCAGTGGTGAGAAAAGCTGTGTTCAGTGTGACCAAGGGGACAGTGATCTGCTCAGCCTTGGGGCTGAGCTATGAGGACGTAGAAAGGTTAAGGAGCAGAAGGGAGTCTGAGAGAGAGGCTAGTGGAACCAGGCTCTGCCCTCCCTGACAGAAACAGGAACAGCCACCTGAAAATACACAGGTTCAAGCAGATCCTGCATCCTCCCCTGCCAGGTGAAGGCAGGAATAGAGGAAAGGAGTGGGTGGAGCCAAATCCCCTCCTTGCCCACGTTACCTCTCCCTGTGACTCTGTATAGCAGGTACGAAGCTCTGGCTCTGGAAGGCCAGGCAATGGACGAGGTGCATGTTAGTCCATCTACACCAGAGGTGTTGCCATGGCTGTGATACCCCCCAGACCATGGCAACCTCTACAAGAAAGATGGGTGAGAGCTGCAGGTGACCGCTTTCTGAGGGGCACAGACGGTCCAATATGCCACACAGACAGTCCTCTCAGGGAAGTCTGCTGCCTCCCTGAGGCCCAGGTTAAGGGCAGCACTAGGAAACTTCCCAGCCTGGTTCAGCCCTCGGACTTTTACCCACTGCTGGCCTTCCACGTGGTCGGCAGCGAAGCCACAACACGTAGTCCAAGAGCAATCAAAAGAGACTTCAGGGTGTGGGGATGGTTGGTAAGTGATTCTGAAACACAGGTTCTTTCCTTCATCCCTCCAGTTGTGGGAAGGGACATTGGAAGAGACAGACCTAGTCTGTTAAATATATGACTTGGTGGCTGGTGTCACTGCCACAATTTCAGATTTATCAGGCACACTGATGTTGGATAGGATCCACCTTCCCCAAAGGGGAAAGGGACCTTTGCTCAGAGCTGCACCTGCAGGATAGAGTGGAGCAGGCACCCTCTGTGTCCCCACCCCTCCCTGTGCCAGGCTGTGGGAGCTGGGGCCAAGGCCAGAGCTGAGCATTAAGGGCACGGCTGTGATTGCATAGATAACACCAAGCAGCCAGCTCAGAGGTGCTTCAAAAGGCACGTGTGAACTCAGGAACCTGCGACCTGGCCACCAGCACTGCTGCCAGGGACAAGTATATGGCACAGAGGGGCTGCCACCAGCATGCCCCAGCCAGCCAGAAGCCCTGTCCTCACATCTTAGTGACAACAGGGATCCTGGCTACCACAACCTCCCCAGCTCTGCACACAGGACCCCCAAGGGAAGGATGATGGGCTGCCTACTTCCAAGCAGCACAGCTGTGGCTGGGCTGGACCATTTTGATTTTGGGCGTGCTGGGACAGAGGCTCAGGCATCATCCCCTATTTCTCTAGCAAAACTATTCCTGCAGTAGCAGGAAGAGCAAGAGCTCCAGCCTACACTAGTATAAATCCTGCAGATTGGAATAAAAAGCAGCACAGTTAAAACACAGTTAAAAACTGCAAACCTGCTGGAGGCAGGGAGAGTATGAGCTGGTCAGGGAGCACTGCAGTGCTGAGCATGCAGGTCTGGTCAACTGCCTCAAACAGAGGTCCCTCTGGGGGTGATGGCTCAGGAGGAGCCATGCAGGCAGACACTTCTAACACAAGCAGGCTTCAAAGCTCAGCCTTTCCCTTCCTCCTCAGGCCACACATAGGCACAGGTCAGTTTAGGACACGTGCCTCCTGCAGGGCTCCTCAGGGGGCCGCTCACCCACTGAGAGGCCAGGGCTGGGAGGAGAGATGGCCACGCAGGCTGCCTGCAAACTAACCTAGTGTTCCTCTTTACAAGCTGTACGAAACAACCCTCCCCACAGCATCTGCAACCCAGCGAGGAGCTGCGAGAGCTACTGCATGGAGCAGCTGTCTGTGGGCAGGAAGTCGTACACGTACAAGGCCACCGACTTGGACAGGTAGGTCATGGTGCCAAACCGGCCGCTCGGGGCACTGTCGTACAGCAGGATGCAGATGCCTGTCGAAGGATCCCTCTCCAACATCTGGTCGTCAGCGCCCAGGGCTTTCTGGATTTTGGACAGAGAAGGAGAAAGCCGACATTAGAATAAGAGCAACCCCCTCACCAGCTTCCACCCCGAGCACTCTCTGTTGCACTCACAGGTGTGACAAGTTGACAATGAGCAGCGGGAGGAGGACCCTACAGCTTTGCTGTGACCCATGAATGCAACAGGGACAAGGGGCAGGGCCCTCCTGCTCAGGTGGGTGAGCCCTGTGCAGCTGTGGGGAACACAGCCAGCAGCCCTGGGTGAGGCTTGGCCCTTACCTGCTCCTCATAGAAGAGGTCGTTGGCTCTGTGCAAGATCTTTTCCACGGGTATGATGCCACCGATGGTGTGCACCTCCATGTCCACCAGCATGGTGAGCACCAAGATAGCTTCCACCAGAAGCTGCCTGTACTCTGGCTGGGGCACACGATTGAGGACAGACTCCACATGCGCAGCAAACTTCATTTCCCCTGGGGTCATCTGTGAGGATGTGGAAAGAAGTGTACCGAGAGCACCATATCACCAGCACAAGTCCTGAGCTACGCTGGGCACTCACCCAGGGCAACCCAGCACCCAACAACAACCTGCATGCCCCATTTCCCCTTCACATGAACCTCCTACCTCTCTGGTTGTTGAGGAGGGGAGAACAAAGCCCTCCACAGAGAGGCCATGGCACTGCAGAACAAGAAAGAAAGATCGTGGTTATGGCTTGGAGAAGCATCGTGCTAAGACACATAGGTCCAGCCCACCAACTCACTCCCACTTGAGCACTGGTGTGTGCTGCCTACACACCCCAGCTCTGCCTCCTGACTCTGCACAGCATCACTGCTTTCCCATCATTTCAGCATCAACCGGAGCCCCCCTGCACAGGGCTCTGCTCCCTGGCTCAGCATGCTGAGCATAAGGTGTGCCTGAACCTCCTTCAGCTGTGGCTCCAGCTCTGCCCCTGTCTGGCTAATGCTCCCCTCTGCAAGGCACAAGATGAGTTAGGTCCTACGTGACTTCGAGGCAGTTCCAGGTCTTCCCCAGCTTTCCAGGGCCAGCTGCAGGCCTTGTCCATGAAGCACATATCTACACAATATCAGGGACCAGCCCCGAGTGTCTAAGTACCCCTGGCAAGGCTGGTGCCTGGGACCACAGGAGAGGCGCCAGCTGGACATCCAGCTCACCTTCTGCAGGACCTTCCAGACCTTCTGGTAGAAGCCCACAGGGACACGGTTGAGGGCCCCGTCCAGCCGCCGCCTCCGCTGCCACTGGCCCTGCCGGCTGTCCTTACTGCCCTGGTCTTCCAGCATGCTTGAAAAGGAGTCCTTGTCCAGCAGCTCCGTGTGCCCAGGAGACTGGGCAGACAAAACAAGGACCACAGAGACTGCTGCAAAGTTAAACACCCCACAAGAGCGCAGCCTGCTACTGCTCAAGAGTTTCTGGTTCTCCAGTCTGATAGAGCTCCCACCCCCTGCCCCCAGCAAAGCCCACCTTACAGCACCCCCCAGAGCACAGCTCCTTCCCACCGTCACAAACAGGACAGACCCCATGCATGCAGCCAACAAACACAGGTTACCAGAGAGGACTTGAGCTCGATGTCCCTGGACTGCAAACTGACGGGCTGAAGGAGAAAGGGAGAGAAGGAAATCAGACCGTGCCAGAGCAGGGCAGCAGTCACAGCAAGCAGAGCAGCAGCAGCACAGATCAAGCTCAGGTCACGGGGCAGTTATCCCAGGGCTGCAGTTAGCTGGAGATGCAGTTTTGAGAGGAAAGCTGTGGAAAGTCCCATGTTACCATCAGAGGGGAAGGATTGTACCAGGGCATGGAGCAGCTGAGGGGCCCCACATGCTGGTGGGGTGCATGAGAGGTGGGTTTGTGCCAGCCTGCGAACAGAAACAGAGCTGCTACTGCTCTGCTGGCTGCTGGCATGGGCAGGGACTGAGTCTCGGGCAGACAGGAGGGCCAGTAGCAATGTCACTGCCCTCTGCAATATCAGGTTTCACACTGCAGCAAGTTGGCCCTAAACCTGCTGCATCAGCCTGGTCCCTGCAAGCCCCATCTCTTTGAGGACAGGACCCCTTCTAGAGCTCAGGACTCCTCTGGACACACACCAGACACATGAGGAGGTCCTTGGCATTTGTAGCTGACCAGAAGCCTCTTCCCCCAGAGAAGAAATAGCTGGGGAGGCTACAGGCAGGATCCAGTGAACTGTCTGGCAGAGTCACTACTGGTCATGGCACTGGAAGCATTGTGCCATCCTGCTCACTGCATTTTGTGAGTGTAATGGAATGTATTTGGCCACAGAAGCTCTGGAGCACAGCTCCCAGCTGGCTGTAATGGCAGTACACCCACAGCTTAGGGAAGCCTTCCTTCCTTCCTGTTAATCCAAACACGGCAGGTCCTACTCCAAGGGGAGCTCCTGTGGGGCAGTGCCAGCCTTGGGCACGTTAAGCCATGCTGACCTCTTCCCAGGGAGCCAGCCTCCTTCCCTGTCCTGAACAGAGCAGCCCTGAGCCTGCTTAGAGAGGGAAAGGCAATTCATTGCTGCAGCAGCTGAGGGAAGCTCATTGAGTCATGCGTGTGAGGAAGCTGTCCTGGTGCATGGCATGAGGGGCAAAAGCTGAGGCTGCAGGACCAGGGGGGCTTCACCTTACTCCCAGGCATAGACTGCCTACGTTTATTCAATTGCTGCAAGAGAAGAAGGAAATGAAGGTTCTGCTGTTGGAAGTGGCCCACCAAGATGCTACCCACACCTGGGACACTGCATGGTCCTCCCCACCCCTGCACCTTCTCAAGCACCCCTGTGCTCCCTTTGCACTGCCAGAGCAACCCCCACCCACTAACTGATCCACCCCAGTTCTCCCCCCCAGGGCAGGACCAGAGCCAAAATTAGCTCTGGGAAGCAGCGGAGATCTCTTCCACTCTTCCATCAATTCTGCCTGGTTTGTAGTTGTTTGTCACCCACAAGATCTGTCATGAGCAGCCTGCACTGCCTGCCCTCACCTGTTTGATTTCACTTTTCAGCCTGACAAGGCCGGAGCGCTCAGATCTGGTGGCCCCAGCAGCCCCCAACTCACAGATGGAGACGGCAGGGGTGACCACAGATGAGTCCACTGAACGCACTGCAGGGGAAGAGAGGTCTAGAGTGGGCACCATGGCTCAGGGCATGGCTGTCCCTTGTCACTGCTCAGGCACTGGTACCTCTGCATGCCCTTGCCCTCTATCCCAACAGCATCAGAGATCCATGAGCACAGCACAGTACTGCTTCAATTCAGACCTGACCAGGTCAAGTGACAAACTAAGCAAAGCCCAAACAGCCACAGGGCTCAATCCCCAGAAATCACTCAGCACCATCCTTAGGAAGAGCACAGTGCAGTGTAGAAGCAGCTGTGCTAAACATGAGGGAGGACAGGGACACGTAGATCTGACCACACTCTGCACCAGGAACCAGATTTGCCCAGAGATGCTCTCTGCTGAGAGACTCACTGCTCTTTTCCACCCCGAACTCTTTGCCAGAGAGGATGTGGTAGAGGAGGCTCTTCATGTCTGATGGGCTGAGATTCATCAGGTTCTCCGTGGCTTCTGTGGCTGGAGAGAAAAGAATTGGGATCTTGTACCTGCCTCATAGTTCTCCTAGAACATTTCTACCCTGCACTACACTCTGTGAGCAGGGGCAGCACTGGCACAGGAGCTCATCCTCCACAGACATACCCTAGCTCCAGTCGTTGCCTACAACAGGGACTCTTCCCCATGCCAGCCCAACACATGCCGGGATGGAGACTGCAGTGCAATCACTCGCCTGTGCTGCCCAAGAACAGGTCCAGCTGCAGACGCTGGCACTTCCATGCAGGGTCTTGTCCTAACCTGACCTGCCATTTTTAACAGTGCTCCTTTCTGGCTGACAGAGCCCCGAGCATCACAGCACCCACCCCAGCCGGGGAGCCGTCCCTGCACGTACCCGAGCAGCGCAGGGAGTGTGCCAGCTCTGTTGCCATCACCTGGATGATGAGCCCAATGCGGAGGCGGAACATCTCCGCGAAGAGCGCAGGCTGCGTGCGTATGTACATGGCCAAGTACACCATGATCTCCTGGAGGGGCAGAGGCAGATCACCCCACTGCTGCTCAGCAGGGCAGACACCCAGATGTGGGGTTCCCCCCTGATATCCTGTTCCCTCACCTGGGTGAGGATGGCCACACTGAGGTTCTTCTCACTGGCTTCATCAATGAGGTGAACAAGTTCCTCGTAGGGGACGGGGCTGGGGCATGAACAAACAGTAGAGCAAGTGAGAGGCAGCAGAGCAAGCCCTGCATGCCCCTGGTCTGTACATCCCCAAGAGGAAAGATACAGGCTGGGGACAGCCAGCCAGGGCCGCTCCTGCCCACGGACCCCAGAGCAGCAGGCTCACATCCAGATCTAGCCCAGCATGCTGGTGGAGGGAGAGGGGCCACACTCACGCGGAGATTGTCTTCTCACGTGGCTCTGGGGGCAGCCCCACAGTCAACTGCTTCTGGTGAGACAGGAGGTCAGTGCAGGCCTGGGGACAGAAAGGGTCAACCCCAGCTATTGTAAACTGAGGGTTTGGGGGCTCAGCACAAGGCAGAGGGAGACAGAGCTGATGCAGCCACGGTTCACCTGCTCACTCTGCTGCCTCCTCCCCGACAGACCTCAGCCCGCTAGAGGCTGGCTGCACAGCTGTTACCTCATCCAGAGCTTCAACCTTCTTCTTGAGGATGCCAGAGATGTAGCGGATCAGGGCCCACTGGCGTGTCTCCCCCACCCGCACATACAGCTCAGTGAGGAGCTCCTTGACAGTGGGGCCAGGCTTGCTATCAAGCCCCGTGTGCCACTCGGGCCCCCTGCGGTGAAGGAGGTGCTGGGTTATACACAGCAATTTGTCTGTGGCAGCTCCCCAGCAGCCCCCCTGGGCTGTGCCAACCCCCCCTCTGCTCAGTGAGCCGTTGGGATGCAGAGTTCACCCCACCTGAGCAGGTAGAGCATGTAGAGGATGTCTGCTTGCTCCTGCAGCGTGGGGCAGACGCGCAGCTGGTCCACCAGTGCCTTGCAGTCCACGTTGCCATCCTCGTCATGGGGCAGGCTCATCTCTGCATAGACTGCATGGCTCTGGGGGAAGGGAGACCCGTGCTGCTGGTTAGCACCACCAGCACCCTGCCCCAAATGGAGCCAAGGACATTCATCCGTGGATATTCCCCCTCAACAAACACCAAGCCTTCCTCGTGCAGTCCTGCAAAGACACTCTGGCTCCACCTGAAAGGATAGCAATGCTCAGTCTGGGAGGGACAGGGCTCACCTTGCCATCCATGTCTTGCTGGGAGGGTGAACCCAGCAGGTTAACCGACTGCTGGGATGCCTGGAAGATCTTGCTGGGGACATACATTCCAACATCTAAAAAAAAAAATGCAAAAGTTGGCAGAGACATTTCTGACCCCAATCACCACTGCTTGCCCCAAACCACCTCACAGATATCTGACACTGCTCCCCCAGTAGCCCCTGCAGAGAAGTCAGCTATGGGAGAAGCAGTCAGGACTAACATGATGGACATAATGTTAGTTGCTCTGCAGTCCATGGGGACCTCAGCATCACAGAGCTGGGAAAGCTCCCAGATCACCTCAGCCTCACCCCTGGGCTCAAGGGAAGGTGTGGAGGGTACTGGAGTTACTCACTCTGGACATGCAGGTCCTTGGCCTTGGATGCCAGGGAAATGAGGTCACGGGTGGTGTGGACAGCAGTCCGGAAGCGGCTCAGCCCTCCCCGCTGGGCAGTGGGGGGCAGGTTGGACTGGGGAGTCGTGCGCTGCAGCAGGTGGTCCAGGTACTGGGCAACCTCATCGTAGGCGTCCTCTGGAAGGGAAGGAAGCAGAGAGGGGTTCAGCCACTGTGTGCTGGGGCACCCCCAGGGCCAGAGAGACCCCAGCTGTGCCTCGGCAAGGACAAAGCTTTGCTGGCCGCACAAAGCGACAATGTGGGGCCAGTGCCAGCAGCCAGGCTCACAAAGCACTGCAGCCAGGGCACCCCTGTTCCTGCATGACTCTGCTGCCTGGGACACTGGCTGACAGCTAGGGCCCCAAACTGGGGCTCCCTCCAAGTCCCGTCTGGACAAAGGAAGCCATGGTGCTGCATCGTGTGTTTGGTACAAGCCTGTGCAAGGACAGGAGTGTCCCACTCAAACCCTGCAGTGAAACCCTCCCACTCTTTCCCTTCAGAGGCACAGCCACGGTCAGCCTGTCCAAGCAGAGACCACTCAGGAGCACCCCAGCACAGCAAGGGCATCTTCCAAGCAGGACTCCAGCACAGAAGCAAGGTAGGGTGAGTTTTGCAACAGTTATTTCTAATTAGGAGTTAGAGGAGGAGTTATGGCTCCTGCCTTCTCTTTGCCCAGCCTTGAGCAGCTCCAACTGCTTCCAGCATCACACCAGGAGCACCAGAGGCACCACATGCTAACAGCAGCATGGAAGAGGCTGCTCAGAGGCCAGGTCTCTGCTCAGCTGGGAGGTAAAAGTGAGGGGGGTGCCCCCTGGGGAAGGTACCCCCGATAAAACACAGAACTGATGATGCACTTCCAGTGGGCCAGGGCAAAGCCATGCTGCTCTCCAGCTGGCAAACTCAGAGTTGTGTCAGCCCTAGGAGGTGAGCTGTGGACTGTACCTGAAGCAGCCTGGCATTCCCTTGAGGGAATGCCTCATGCCAGTGCCTGGAGGTTTGGCTGGAGAAGTCCTCTAGGCACCAGGCTTGAGAACATCCTCCTGCCTGGCTGCAGCATCTGACCACAGGAAAAACTTAAAACTGAGCATCTTTGAGATGCCGTAGAAAGGCCAGGCAGGTCTTTCCCCTTTCTCCCACTGGGGCTGGAGGGGAAGCAAACACCTTGGACAAACCCAGATGCAGCCTGTAAGGAGGCTACAAGCAAAGCAAGATAAGGGCAAAAGAAATGAGTGTTCAGAGTCCCAGCAGTGCAGACACTGGCTGCAGGAGCTGCAGAGGCACAGCAGATGGTGGGAAGGCCAGTGATTACCAGCACTAGGTCACACAGGAAGGGATATCCCCAGGCCTGCTTGCAAGGGGAACAGTAAAACTTGCACCCCGCTATGGTCCCAGCACAAGGGAGGTCCCCCTCATGCTGTGATGGGCCAAGGCACTCTCAGGCACCCTCTACACAGCATCAAGGCTTCAATTTGGCACCCACCGGAGCACCTCTGCCCAGGAGAGGGGCAAAGGCTTTGGGAAAAAGACAAATTGCTTAGGGACACGGTGGCTCTTCCCCACTGCCTTGGTCACTGTGCCTTCACATTGCACTGCACTTGTGCACCAAAGACCCTCAGACACATCTCCCCAGTGGAGGTAAGCTGCCAATCCTTTGTCTCTTCCCTACAAAGGTCGCAGCAGCTCGTTCCAGACAAGGTTGACAGAGGGTCAGATGGGAACATGGTGAAAAAACAAGTGCATGGATGCTAGCAGGAGGTTGAGTGTTACGAGTTTAAGGGTGAGTTGGGCATTTGCCACCCCACAGCAGCGACTGGCCTGTTCTCCCTTACCCTCCTCTGCTACCTGCAAGCCATGCAGCCAGTCCTCGCTGTCCAGCTCCTCAAAGCTGTCACTGCAGAGCCTGTAACTCTCGGCAAAGACCTTACCCTCTGGCCCAGGGTCCATAAAACTGAGGTGTGTTCGGCATGACGTTGTCAGGAACTCCGACAGTTTACCCGTCTGGATCCTGGGCGAGAGATGGGGAGGTCACATGGGAGAGGAAAGGGGAGGCAGTACCCTTGGCTTTACCTCCTGGCTCCAGGGCAGGCCCTTTGGCAGGGAGAGATGGACCTGTCAGGAGCATATGCACACCAGTGTCTGCTTTAGCTGTCTGCAACTCCTTCAGCCACAGGTGGGCATGGAAGGGCTGCCCAAAAGATATCAGGAGGATCCTGCAGCCATGGGTTTGATGACATGAAGAGCTTTATCCTCTCTTTCATCTCCTCTGTTGAGACTGTAGCCCCAGGGTGCACTGACAGCTTAGCACACCCCAATGTGTCCTCCCCAGCCTGTTTCCCCAAAGCCAGTGCACTGCTCACCAGGCTCTTGGAGGCTTGACAGCCCTCACCCCAGGAGGGTGCACTCACCTTGCGCCACCGAAATACCCGTCCTGCAGCTTCCGCAGCATCGCCAGCACCGCGGGGTGCACACTACTGCCCGTTTCATCTGTGGGCAAGAGGCACAGGCAGTCAGGCTCCTCTGCTCAAACTGGCTCCCAGAAGGTAACCCAGGGCCAGGTGGGCATTCAGGCACCCAAAGCAGCACGGGCGGATCCTTGTTCGAGGCACGCAGACACGCTGTGGTACCAAAAGCACCACCCAAAAAGGGAAATTCGGGACTGTCCAGGCTGAATTCCAGGAAAACTAGTCCAAGATGCACTCCAGGCTCCTGGGATTTCAGCTTGGCTGAAGCTGACAGTACCAGACAACAGCACCCAACAGCCCCCTACTCTCTCCCTGCCTTCCATATGAGGCAGCAGATGGGGGGCTGCTGTCAGGGGCAGGAGGCACCATAGGAAAGGGCACACTCAAGACACCAAGGGGATTTCAAGTACCCAAGGAAAATCAAAAAGGCCTGAAAGCACCTCATGGGGAAGCTGGGAGCTGCTGCAGGCAAGCCAGTTCTGCTCTACGCCATTGCAGAGCTCTTTGCTCCTTCTGGTTGACTGTTTTCCCCTCTGTGTTGCCTAGGAAAGCCTTTAGCAGGTGGTCAGTCTTAGTGAAGAGTCAAGATGCAGAAAGAGCCCCAAGAACACTCCTACAGGGGAACTGTTTTTTTGGTCTTGCTCCCAAAAGGCCTTCCCACAAGTCAGGTTGTCGGGAGCCACTGAGCTGCAGGCACTAGTGCCTGGCAGGCAAACCCACCAGCTGCCAGGCAAACTGCCCACTTGGCGTGGCTCTTCTCAGTGGTAAGCTCTTCACAGAACACTACTGGCTGCTCCAGCCCCACCATGTCCCCATTACTGAGGCAGTCACAGATCTGCCCACCCCCTTCCTCCTGCAGAGGCTGCTTCCCAGGGCTGCTCTAGCCAAACACCTTGCCAGGCTGGAGGATCCATACCGAGCATGATGTGGGAGACAGGGAAGGTGATGGTTGGTTGCCCAGTCATTCTCCAGCGGCTGCAGAGATAGGAGAGGTCTGTCCTCAGCATCTCCACAATCATCTTGTTGTCAAGAGCCAGGTAGAACTGCTGCTGGTCTATGAACTGTGAGGACAGCAGGAGACATGAGCGGCCCTTTGTACAGCCACCAGGTCCCTATGGTGCCATTCACATCTTCCCACAGGCATTCAGCCAGGCCAGACATGCTGTGCACCCAGAGGACATGCTCCTTTGCACTGACAGCTCATCCCACCTTACTTGGCAGATGCCAGTACAGTCTAGTAAGGGACCCTCAACTTCTAGGGCAGCTACTGGCCATTAGCAACTGTGAGGAGATAACTAATGCCACAGCTCAGCAGCAGCATCCAGGCCTCCTCCTGGTGTCCTTGTCAGGGTGAGCAAAGAGATTTTCACCCAATACTGATCATCAGAAGGGTCAAACCACCTCTCCCAGCATGCACACAGCCAGAACCAGCAACTGGGCTGCCTCACGCCACAGTGCTGGGGCTGCTTCACACTCCCAGAGGGTGTTGGGCCACATCTGAGAATAACTCGAGCACTCAGCCAGTGGAGAAACTTCTTGCCCAGTTCCAGATCACATAACAGCTGGGAATGAGCCCATGCAATGTCACCCACCTGTGGGGTAAAGGTAAAGATGCTCTTCCTGATTTTGTAGAGCTTGGAGGTCCCAATGACACCCATGTGCCGGTAGGGCCGTCCAGTCAGGCTCATCTGCTTGTTGCGGCCTGGGAGGGCAGGAAGAGGAGTTTTTAGTGCAAGCCTCCTAATGAAAGGGGCTGCAGCAGCAAGCAGTGCCAGGCCTCTTGCTACTAGCCAGCAGGAAAATGCCGGTTTGTGGGTGGGATACCCCAGAACCCTGTGTCAAGCTAGTACAGCTCTAAGTGACAGTGATACTCTGTCCCCAGCCCTGCCCAGGGGGCTAGAGACATGCTGAAACAGGGACACACAGCCTGTCCTGACTTCTGCAACGCGTCACACCTCCAGGTTTTTGGGGATGTCAGAAGTTGGAACAGGGCTGGGGGTACTCCTCTGCATAGGGCTGGTCCCCCAAAGCTGACAGCTCTATCAGCATTCCCATTGCTCATAGATTACTCCCAGAGCCCAGAATGGCACAGTGCAGCATCTCCCCTTGCTCGTGTCAGCCCTGACAGCTGCCAGGCTGTTCCCCCTGCCCATCTCACACTTGGCATTTTGGTGGCCTAAATTAGCCACCAAATTAAAATCACAGCAGATCAGGTGTCTCCTATGGCCCAGGCTAGATCTCTGGCTCCTGCACAGCAAGGCTGATGCCCAAGGGGTTGCAGCATCAGGGAACATGTGTGCAGAGCTGAGCACACCCTCCCCTCACACTCAGCCCTGCCCACCTCCCCAACAACAGCCATTCTGCCTGAGCTCCAGGCTCTCTCCACCAGGGACAACCAGGGGACCGTTCCTGAGGTCTGGCTGGCCTTCCTCATCGAGATCTGGGTACAGGAACAAAACCCAACTCCTGTACACACCAGGTCCTTCCTATGTGGATCAGTCTGTCCCTGGGGTGGCTGTGCAACTGCAATGCCAAAGCTCTATCCCTGTCAGAATAACCCTGAACAACACTGCCTGTCACCTTGTTCCCCTGGGGCACGAGTAGCTTTACTGGGCTCAGAAATGGGCAGCAGAAACCTCATCAGCCAGGCAGAGAGCAGGACATGAGTGTCTATGAGCAGGTGTGCCAGGGGGTGGGACAGACCCTTCTGCACCCCCTTTGCTGCAGTAGCAGGGAGTCCATCTCACCCAGCCGGGCATAGATGTGGCTGAGGATGCGGGCAGGCTGCACTCTGATGGGGTAGACATCTTCCACAGTCTCCACGTCAATGCCCTCCTTCGTCAGGATTTCCTTGATCTCATCTGTCTCAGCCAGGATGCACACTGTGGAAGGAGGACAGGCTCAGTGCAACAGGGGCACAAGGGTGTGACAGCACTGCCCCATGCCTTTGAGGACACATACAAGGTGCCACACCACAGAGAGGCAGCTGTCAGGGGTCCCTTTGGGAACCAGTTCCCACTGCAGAGGTCTGCCTTGCCCCTCCTAACACTCTCTACACCCAAGAGTTCTGCACCAAGTGGTAGGAAGACAGTTTTCAACCTCTCTGCAGAGCAGGCTACAGCAGCTGTTATTTCCCTCAGTCAACACAGAGTGGAAAGGAAGGACTTGCACCCCATCTTCCACTCTCCTTGCCAGGTCTGAGATTGGGAGGTAGCAGCAGCAACGCAGCAAGCAGAGCCACCCAGAGCCACCCCTGTGAATTCTGCACTGCCAGAGTCCCCAGACCTGCCAGGCTCAGAGGTATGGAACTGGTATTCCTTTCCCTCACCTTGAACCACCACATCAGGCTTCGGGACAGTCGCGAACCGGCGGCTGAGGGGATCTATTTCACCAGGAGCCAGAAACCCCTGGGGAAAAAATGGTATGAGGAGATTAACGTTTTGTGGGCAGCATAGAATGGGTGATGCCTATGGACAACCCACCTTTAAGAAGTCCTGGGGGATGGGAGTGGCAACTTCCCCAAGGCAGGTGGCAGCATTTGCCCCTTCAGAGTTCAGAGTTTGGCCCCACAGCCCTCCCCAGCACCCAGGATGACTGTACCTCAGCCATCAGGCAGCCCAGGATGTAGAGGGACTGCCCCCACATGTGTGGCAGTTTGCCCATGGGTATTCTGTCCACAGTGTGGGGGTTCCTGTACTCCTCATCCACCTGGAAGACAAGCCAGGAGGTTAAGGAGGGATCCACAGACACAGGATGCTGAAGGAAGCATCTTCACTGTATTTTGAAGTCCAGCAGTTCAAGGCTTGAAACAAGAGCCTACGACAGCATTTGTCAAGAGAGGGTCCAAAACAGCCTGGCTACATTCCTCCCCTCTTCTTGTGACTGCCCCAGACATCCACATCAGACAACAAATCAGCTGCTCAGACCATGTTTGGTTTCCCAGCTCAGGCCATTAGAAGGACTAACGTGCCCCAGGAACACTGGGGAGATGCTCTCGAATGCTGGTGAGGAGAGCACCTCTCCTGCATGACCTGGGCACCAGGAGGCCACTGCTCTCAACCCCACACCACTGAACAGGAGCTCAGCACCATCTCCTCAGCCCAGGTCCACTTGTCCTGAGCTCTCAGAGCACTCAGCCTCTGAGTGAGCAGACTGTCAGCAAAGCACCCTTGTGTATGGGGGCAAGAAATGCTTTGGGGGAAAACCACCAGCTTTTGGGGGAAAAACACCAACATGGTTTTATAACAGCTCCAAGCCTTGCTTTTTATACATGAGGTTTCCATGCACTGTATGTGCTACTTTGCTAACATTTTGGATTAATAAGCATTTAAAACCTAATTATCTGGTAATGAGATCAGGAGTTTCAGCAGTTGGACTTTGTGACTCCCTTCCAACTCAGAATATTCTGTGATTCTGTGAGACACTCCCTCTTTCCACCACAGCTCAGGATCGCTCACCTTATCCATTGGGACACTGTACAGCTCTGGCATCAGGCGTATCCCATTCTTCCCCTTGATGAGAACCCCCTCAAGGGCTTCCCGGTACTCCTGCACCTGAGGAGAGAGGAGAGAGAATCTGCTCCTGGTCATGGCTCCCTGCATCCTTCCCCTGCACACCTCACCTGCCAGGGACTTTTTTCCCACCACCCCAGCAGGTTCTGCCCCCCTTACCTGCTCTATATTTCCATTGAAAATCCCATCAATCATCAAGTATGCCCAGAAGAGAGGCCACTCGCACTCGATGTTCTCAAACAGCTTCAGCTCAGCAGGTTCATAGTAGAGGCGTTTGGGGTCCTGTAGGTGACAGCAAGGCAGACAGTGGGTGGCAGGATCCCCTCAAACTGACAGGGCTCGTCCTCCCGCCAAGCCCCCGGCCTCAAATGCCCTCCCACCCCTCCTCTGCAGATGATGGCCAAGACAGAGCAGAGAAGCAGATTCACTTCCAGCCTCTGTTCTCCCCGTCAGACACCCCCCTCCCAAGCCCCCTGCACTGATGATGAAGAGACTTGCCCTTCCTGGAGTCCACCCAGTCCCCAGGAGAGCACCCCAGAGCCCCCAGAACACCCCAGACACTGTGCTGTTGTACAGTAACAGCACAACATCCCCTGTGCCACACTGGGTCCCCTTTGCCTTGTCTGCTCTGCCCCAGCCCCTCAGCATCTGCCTCCTCCAGCATCATCAAGCTGGCCCAGCCAGGTGCAAAGGCTTGGGCTGGTCATGCAGGGCCAGAGAGCAGAGTCCCTCCTGCCATGCAACTGACACAAGGGAAGTTGTCAGGATGGAGATCTGCCAGGCCAGTGCAGCTGTGTGTGGTGTACCTATGCTCGACCCTCCCTGCTAACTGCTCTAACTCTGTTTGCTGCACAGAAGGAAGAGTGCTGGCCCTAGCAGACTGTTAGGCAGAGAGGACAGAAGGAACAGACGTTTTCTACAGTGCCTGCATTCCAGCTACAAGCTCCCAAAGTCCCATCTGACTACAGGCAGCTGCATGCCCCTGCAGGCACTGCTGCCCTTCCTGTGCCTCACAGTTCTCCAGTAATCCATGGCTCGGCACACTGGCAAAGCTCACAAGTGTTGGGAACGTTGGACTGGAGATGTTGCTGCTTTTCTTTGGCTCTGGAAGGGGGCAGCCACACACACTGCCTATTATGGGCAGGTCTGCAGAGGCAGAGCCAAGAAGCATTCAGAGGCACTTGTGCCCAAAGGAGCCCCATCAGGTTATGGGCCCAGAAGCTGGTGATGATTTAAGAGCCTTCAGGTACCATTTCCTAGTTCAGTGGTTTTCTGGTTTTCCCTCCCTTGAGCAGCAGCGGAAAGTATCCTGAGAGCCACTATGGCAGTACCCAAGCTGCCTGCTGGCCTGGGAGAGGCAGAAGCAGCTTTGTGACCTTTGGAGCTGAAGCAGATGAGGAGCTCTGTGTGGTCACCTCCCCAGGCCTCCAGCCCTAGCTCAGGGCTGGTGCAGCCCTGGGAGAGCCCACCTCATCAGGGCTCCCATGCAGGGCACTGGTCCCACCTTCCCCCAGCCCAAGGGAGACACACCACAAGGTCCCAGGACAGAGGCAGAGCCAGCCTCTGGCCATCTGCTATGGGCATGGGTGGAACGCACCACCTCTGCAATGAGCTCTGGCACTTTGGGAAGCCTTGCCCAGACCCATGACACCACCTGGGGTTAGTGAGGGCTCTTGTCTTCCCAGTGCTCCCCAACACAGCCTTTGTGCTGCATGCAGGGGGCTGCTGCTGGCAGGGCTAGGGACACTCACCTCTTTGGGGGTCCTGTATCCATCCCGGAGGAAGCGGCAGCAGCCATAGCGTCCCTGGAAGGGAGGGAAAGAGATGCCAAGCAGGAGGCACAGCGTGAGGCATCTCGTACCTTCAATGCAGAAGCAGGGGTGGGGTGTCTCCTCCAGCCAAACACCCCCTCTCTTGCTCACCCAGCACTCAGGCACCACAGTCACAACCCAGGGCCCCACGACACAGGGCTGCCTCTTTGCACATGGAGACTGGGAGAGGACATCATCCAGCACTCCCTCCCCAAGGATGTTTTTGGGAAGAAAAGGGCTACAACAGTTTGGACTGCAGCTGTCCCCCGGGAATAGTGAGATGAGGGCAGAGCCACTCACCTGCAGCTTCGTGATGATCTCCTGCTTGGTGATTTCCACCAGCTCGCTGTCCTCCACAGCAAATGCTGGGTAGGAGATGACAGAGAGCACGCTGGCATCCACCTCCTTGGATGTGGAGGCCCTGGGCAGCATTGAGTGAAGGATGGACTGGGCAGAGGAGAATGAGGGGTGGTTAGGTTGCCAGGCCAGGCATCGTTCACACCACAACCCCAGCAGATCACAGTTCCTCCTGCAGTGGTGTCACGGCCCCACGGGTCTCACCTGGCAGTGCTGCACCTCATCTGACAGCACCCGTATCACTGACTCCGGGCCTCCCTTGGCTCCAAAGAGATCCAGCTCATCCAGTGCCTCCAGGGCAGCCTGCAAGCAGACTCAAAGAAGCACGTCCTCCACCATGCTGCCCATCTATAAGAGCTCTCACCCCATGCCAGTCCCTGTGTGTAATGCACTGCCCAAATTTAAAATAATTTGAACCCTGAGAGCTCTGGCTGCAGAACACCTCTGGTCAAAATGGGACCACATCCCCAAAGCCATCGGTAGCCAGACATCAACAGGGTCCTGGACATTTCTGCCACCCACAGCAATTAACTCTTCACTCCCAGTTCAGGCAAAACTCAGGCTAGAGGGGCACAGTTTTATCCCAGTGCACAAGGAGAAGGGTCTTCCTCTCCAGGAACCTATGACTGCATGGAGCATTGAGCCTCAATAGTTCAACATGCCCAGCCTGCCCTGTCAAAAAGCAGCTCAGGGCCATTGGTGCTCTCGACTCCCAGCCAGCACTTCTCCCCAGCTCACCTTGGCCATGCCAACAGAGCTGGCATTCAACTCGGTGATGCCCTGGTTTGTCTTGTCCCCGCGCTCCCAAATCCCGAAGTCCTGTGCAGAGGCAGCAGGCACTGGTTCACAACACAGCCAGGAAGCCTTTGAATCCCACTCATCAGCAGTGCTTCCAGGAGGTGCCGGTGGGGCTCAGGGGGGACCCACAGCTGCCCCTGGACACCAGCCCAACACCTCCAGCACCAGAGCACGCTCCCCTTCCCCAGCATGCACTACCCACCGCAGTCTTGTAGGCAGCTTCAATGTAAAACACGAGGTTCTGGATAAAGTTGACTTCATCCAAGCTGTGAATTATGTGGAGGCCTGGAGCAGGGAGAAGAATTCACATCAGCCACTCCAAGCCCACAGGTACTCCCAGGATGGGGCTGCAGTAACCCAGGGATCCCTCCTCCACACTGCATGCCTGCCTGATGGGAGCCATGTCCTGGCTGACTCCCACCTCCAATCCCACCCGCTATGGCTGCACTGGGGTTTCAGACAAATGGACATCAAGGGGCCCAAACCCACCACAGGTGCTGTGAGCATAAGCAAACAGTGGAGTAAGGGAAGCCATTGCAGCAGCTTGGTACCCAGGAAGCTGCACCCAAACTGAGGCTCTAGAGAGCCTGGAGACCAGCACGCTCAAAGCTGAGATGGCAGCTCCCAACAGCATTACCTGAGGCCGTCATTTGCGCCAGCATGAGCAGGTAAAGGGAGGTGGCATCCAGCTGTAGGTGACCCCACTCGTTGTCTCCCACCACGGTGGCACAGGTCTGGGTGTTATACTTGGCATGCAGGCAGTCCTTGGTGCTCTGGCTGTACTTGAAGGCCTCCACCTTGTCCACCTTGAAAAGGGCAAAAGGATGCAGGAGTTCATAGAACCCTGTCTCCAGACAGGTCTGACATCTCCCAAGCCAAGGGCTGCCTCGTGCCATGAGCCCAGCATGTGGAGCCATGCCTGGCAGGGCAGAAATTCCACAGCCACTGGGCTGCCCCTCTGCTCACCAAGGCAGTGAGTGGCTCACAGGCCACTGAAGTGCAGGGCTGCAGCTGTGGAGGGCCCATGCCACAGCTGCACCACGCAGAGAAAAAGGGTCACCCCAAATGCCCTCAGGAAGGAGAGCTGCAGAGTCCTACTGCCAGCCAGGCCATGAGACAGGCAGCAGCTGGCAAAGTCTCCACTGGCTACCAGCCCACAGCACTGGAACTTCAATCACAGCTGCTCACTCAGAACTTATTTCAAGACTTGCTGGAAGGGGAGGCTGGGGAGAGCTGGTACAGTCAGGACTGACAGTCTCTGTGGCACAGCCGGGCTTTAAGGAAACCACTTTACACCCAGAGGTGCTCCCCAGACCCTACCTGTCTCATCATGCACTGGAGCAGTCCCCGCATCAGCTTCACCACGCTCTGCAGGAACAAGGAAAACAGCCCTGTTAATCGCCAGAAGCCCTGACTCAGGCTCAGCTGGCCGATGACCTTTGCAGGGCTCGGCGCCTGTAATCGGAGCTCCAGCTCACATTTCTACAGCCTCTGCTCCCGGGGCAACAGCAGAGGGAAGATTTCTTGGCCTGCCAGCGGGGCCGAGCTGCTGTGCTGTGCAGCGGGACAGAGGGCACAGCTGCAGGACACGGCTCCCCAGCCCCTGGGAGAAGGGCTGTGGCCCCAGATCACCCCGGAGCCAGAGGGACGGACCCTCTGGCTGGGCTCCAGGGTGCCCTGGGAAGAGCAGGCTCTGACAACCCTTCCTATCGCCTCCTGCGCCGGGGGACAGCCCTGTCCTCACCCTCACTGCACGGCCCCCCGCGGTCTTCGGGCCCCCGGCCCGGCTGTGCCAAAGGCTG